TAAAGCCACTATTGACGACTGAGTCTACTCTTTCATGGTTTTGTATGACTTTTGAATTGTAAAGTACTTCATTTTCATTTCTCTCACTCTGCTTCTATTGACACCATTTGCTTATTCAAAATTAATAACATCACCACCTTTAGTAGATGACTTTCTCTTCTCTGAGACTTCCTCACTCTCACAGAACTGAATATATGACTTAAAGAAGAAAATGGTAGTATAGCCAATGGCATACCAGTCTGACCATAATCATATTAAATAAGGCATAAAAAACTTAGACACTGGAGAACTGAGTCATATTCATAGAAAAGCACTACCATACTCATCAGAGATTATGAACTCCTGCTTTTACCCTGGAACTGCCTTATTCTTCTGACATGATTGTTGAACTTTTCCTTGGATTGTGATGCATTATTACGCTTCCCAATTTTTTTGTTTGATTGTTTCTCATTTGTTTAAAAGAGTTGTTAAGATCCTACTAGCTCCAGTAACACAGGACAAAGGCCTCTGTCCATTCTCGGTGACCTTTTCTCTCTCAAGTTCCCTCTACAACTAAGCACAAGTCCTGATTATTCTAACCATCCAAACCAGCCCCCACTTGACACACTTCTATAGCTCTAATCTTGGTCTAGGCTTTCCATTCTCTTTACTAGTATTCTCATCTTGCCTCCTTCTAATTAATTCCCTAATTTGAAAGAATAATCCTTCTTTATAGGGGAAAAATCAAACTAACAACACTAAGTCTCCCATTTGGTCAGAGATTTCGTATCCCTGACTCTTTTAATCCTCTATAAGAATTGCAGCGTAATTTTTTTTTCTATATATCCATTTTATAGATGAAGACCTGAGACTCAAAATATTAAGAAGACCTCTCATGATTACATAGTTGCCAAATGATAAAGTCAAGCTTCAGAACCAGACAGGTAGACTCAAGTTTCCATTCTCTCAGCTATTATGCTAATGTATCCCCCAATCAGATGTGAGCTTAAACATATTTCACAAACCTACATATCTAGTGAGAAAAGAGATATGATGTCCCATACTATTTCCATTACATTCTGTTATGCTGTAGTCACTACCCTGCTTAAAAATTCCTTTGTCAACATATTTCCTTTTACTGATACCAAAACCCTTTGCAATTTGGGTAATTAAACTTCACAGTCTCATCTCCCCTCATCTTCTCCTTTGTGCTCTGTTTACATATTAAACTAAGCTCATTAGCAAAGTACAACCTTCTATCTTCATTCCAAGTCATGAGATGACTTGTGTTATCTATGTTTTTATGAACCATATGTATAATATATAAGGTAGGCAGACTCAAGGATGCTTCCTTATAACTTAACTTCCTTTAAACCCAAAGAAACAGTATCCAAAGACAAGAAAAACTTTCCCCCAGGTAATATGAGTAGCTAAAGGTAGACCTAGAAGCAGAACCCATGATTTTTGAGATGTATGTCAACATATTTACACACAAATTAGACATACCACCTACATATATTCTCCTGTCATTTTTCCCTCTCACATTTCAAACCAGTTAACTCATATGCATCACAGACATGATTATTTGTAAACAGTGTGAAAATATCCTATTAAACTCAAACCATTTGCCTATTCTAAGGCAAAACTTCTCATAGTTACTCCAAAGACACCTAGTATAAGGGAATGTGTGATGGAGAGAGAGTCATAGAGGAAGGATATGACAATCTTGACTAATTTTCATTAACTCTCAGGGAATGAGAAGACACTCACATAAATGGGGTCTTTTTTTATTAATCAATATTTTTTATTATGGTTTTGTGGGGTACAGTTAAGGGTTAGGTGTACAATTACGTTTCATTCAAGCACCCTGTTGATAAATGGGGTCTTTGAAGGTTATCTTCAGTTTTTATCTCTTATGATTATTCTTAAGCTTCTCTAAAGTTGGGAATGGTTTGTGTTCTTTTTTTCTATACCTCAGCAGCTAAAATTTCATGAATAATATAGTAAAACTTAAAAAAAAGTTTTGTTCTTCAAACTATTTTGATTAGTTTTTGTTCTTTATGTTTTTGGTTGGTTTTGTCAACATTCTACTAAGATTATCCTTCTACGTCATTCTTTATCTTTATCTTCAGTTGGCTGAGTTTGAATAATCTTAGTGATAGTGATGGAATATTCTACCACTTGAGACAACCTATTCCAAAATTGAGCACTGCTATTTATTAGAGTTCCTTTAAAAAAGGTGCTTTGGGAGCAATAGTTGTTTCACATTGGTGGTTATATGTGATTCTCATCATAAGAGAAGGAAAAGAGTTTAAAAAAAAAGAACGAGTAGGGGAGAATAGAGGATAGGAAAAAGGACAAGAAGAAGTGGGAAGAAGAAAAAGAAAGGAGAGAAGGAGAGTAGAAGTAGGAAGAGAAGGAGACAGATTTGGTAATATGAAGCAAAAACATTACAGACAGGAGAACGACATTTAATTAATTAATTCTTATTATATGCCAGACACTGTACACGTTTCACATATCTGAGTCTTTAATTCTACAATGGTGCTGTGAAGTATTTTTATCCTCATTTTAAACATGGGAAAATTTTAGGCTTAGAAATTTTGAAAAGCTTCCCACAGCTTGTAGGTGCCAGAGCTGGGGTTGAACTCCAGTCTGTCTTACTCTGTGTTGTTAACCACTCTTACACATGACCTCTCTTTGGTCTTAGTGCTACTTTAGGATTACACTAAATATAATTCTCTTCATCTTCATGCTATAGATATTTGTAGGAAGTAGTCATATTTCTCCTGAGTTATTTCTTGCCCAGTTCAATATCTCCATTTTTTCAATAAATTCTCAATTTTTTTCTTCTACTAAACTTTTAGGTCAATCCTTTCCATTAATTTTTCTCTCCCTACAGTTTTTATTATAACTATTGAGATTCCCAATGTGTGACTCACAGCTTCTTCTATAAACACTGTCTACAACATTGTTTTTCTTTAATCTCAGAAAAGATAGCGCATGATGAACTATTTCTCACTTTTTATTTATTTGAAAATAAGATGTAGAAAAACACTATGATCCCAGGGATTCTAGTTAGACAGACAATATAGCTTTAATGACAGTAATCTGGGTTCTAACCCTGTCTACACCATTTAACTACCTGCTATCTTGCTTGTGTAATAATGGTTAGGCTCTTTAGCATATTTAGTTTGCCTTTCTTTATCATTATATATTAATATTTATAAATAGGGTATTAAGAAGATTAATCAAGATGGTACATATCAAGCATTGAGGCACATCATAAAGTCTAAGTAGATGATTTTCATGATTTGCTTATTAGCCCATTGTCCCCACATTCTTATTCAAACATCAAACTTTTCTCATTAGCAAAGAGCAATCTTCTATCTTCATTCCAAGCCACGAGATGACTTGTGATATCTGTGTTTTTATGAATCATAAGTATAATGCATAAGGTAGGTAGATTCAAGGACATTTCCTTATAATTTAACTTTCTTTAAACCCAAGGAAACAGTATCCAAAGACAAGAAAAAACTTTCCCCCAGGAAATATGAGTAATTAAAGGTAGACCTGGAAGTAGAACCCATGATTTTTGAGAACTACTTCAACACATTTACACACAATTTATACTAATTCCCAAGATTCAAACTTAAATGATGGGATTATGTTGACTGATATGTTACCAATCCAGGTATTTCATCTAATTCAATTATTTTAAGTCAAAATAACAGGCATAATAGAAGGTAAGGAGAAAACATATTTGGTTATGGGGAATTTGAAGTACTGCTCACCAAATCCACTAGCATCACCTTGTCACCAGGTTTAGCCATACTCATGGTAGATTCAGCCTCTGGCGGCAGAATCAGAAGACTTACAATCTGGACTTGGCTCTGCTATTTGTGAAGTGACCTTGAGAAGGTCATTTAACAACTTTTAGATTTTTAAAAAATCATTGGCACAATGAATAATCAAATTACTGTTAAGATTATTAACAGTAAATTTAAAATTATTAAATTTTTTAGTTATTTTTAATTTAGATTTATTTTTGTCTTTCACATGCTTAGTGAAATAACTGTGTATGCAATGAAGTGCCTAAATCTAAGATGTAAAGCTAAATGAATTTTTACATATCTATACTCATGTAATCATATGCAGATCAGGATATGAAATATTTGCATAATTCTGAAAGTTTCATCCAATAATATTACAGAGGTAGCAAATAAAAATATGAGATACACAGATAAATATCATATAAACGTTTTAGTATAAATATGTCCCAAGCTATATTTGTGACATCCCTATAAATTTTTATAGCAAATTCCATGCCTACTTCCCACTAGTAACCACTGTTCTAGTTTCTATCAACTGTAGATTACCTTGCATATTCTTGAACTTCATGTAAAAGTTATTATACAGGATGTACCTTTTATGTCTGGTTTCTTTTCCTCAAAATAAAGTTTTTGAAATTTCTCCATATCGCTATGCTAAAATATTTTTTCTGGAATGTACTTCAGTTTATTTAATCTCTTATTGGTAGATTCATTTATTACCAGGTTAAGGATATTATGAAAATAACTGCTATGATCATGCTTGTACATGGTTTTTGTTGTTGTTGTTGCTTTGTTTTGTTTTTTCATGTGTGTGCTCACATTTGTACTGGTTTGTGGATATAAACCTAAGAGTGGAATTGTTGGATTACCAATTATGTCTAGCTTCAGGAGATACTGGCAATGTGCATAAAACAATTTGCACTTCCACTGGCAATGCATGAGCTCCAAGGATTCTACATTCTCACCAACAAATGATTTTGTCAGTCTTTTCTATTTTAGTCACTCTGGTGATTGTGCAGTGGTATCTCATTTAGGCTTTAATGTGCATTTCCCTGATGTATAACAATAATGAGAAATTTCTACATATCAGTCAAATGATATCTTATTTTGTGAAGTGTCTATTCAATTACCTCACCCATTTTTATTTGAGTTGTCTTAGTATTTTTTCAGGTCTTGTTGATGATTATAATGGAGAGTAAGTTCCAGAGCAACTACTTCATCATGACCAACTTAATTGTTTTGAAACAGATTTATAAATTATAAAATGCTGTAAAATACACCATTATTTATATCATCATTATTAATAGTATTGTCTTTAAATTTTTATTAAAATGTTAGAGAACAGAGATTTCTTATTCTAGCTATCCTGCCCAAACTATCACTGTGTCTTGCAAAACTGTATACCAATAAGAGCATTTGTTTGTGTATACTGACAACCTTTGAGAAAAGATTTTCTCATCCTACATATATTTTATTTCTATCATAACAGCGTGTACTTCCTTTCTAATCAAATAATATGTGAGGAACAATTTAAGATATTTGTGATATATTTATTCAGCACAGTTTATAGCATTAGTCAGGAAGGAGTGAAAATCTCAGGAGATAGTGTAAAATTGCAGCCATGGTATGAACTTTAGAGTCTAAAGCTCTTGTCTCAAGAATCATTTCTGCCTTTTCCTGATTGCATAATCTTGGATCACTTATTTAACACCTGTTGTCATTATTTTTTTTTCTTTTCAAACGGCATGAATAATATTCAACCCACTCCCTACTTCAAAGAATGATGACCAGGTTTAACTGAGACAGTTTATTTGAAATATAAAGTTCTAGTTCCAATTTTCAGGGGAAATGCTTCCAATTTCTGTCCGTTTAGCAACATGTTGGCTGTGGGCTTATGGTAAATGCCTCTTATTATTTTGAGGTATGTTCCCTTTATGCCTAAGTGTTCAAGGGTTTTTATCAAGAAGGGATGTTGGATTTGATTGAAAGCACCTCTCCTGTTAAACATGGTGTTGGAAGTCCTAGCAAGAGCAATCAGACAAGAGAAGGAAATCAGGGGTATCCAAATAGGAAAAGAGGAAGTTAAGTTATCCCTCTTTGCTGACAATATGATTCTATACCTTGAAAACCCAAGAGAATCTGTCAAAAACCTCCTTGCACTGATAAAGGATTTTGGCAAAGTCTCAGGGTACAAAATAGACATGCAAATGACAATCACATTCTTACACACCAACAACAAACAGCAGAGAGCCAAATAAAAAGCATAATCCCATTCACATAAGCCACAAAAAATTGAAATACCTCAGCATCTTTCTAACCAAAGAAGTGGAAGATCTTTACAACAAGAGCTACAAAACACTGCACAAATAAATCAGAGAAGGGACAAACAAATATAAAAGTATTTCAAGCTCATGGATTGGAAGAATCAACATTGTTAAACTGTCCATCCTACACAAGGCAATCTACCAATTAACCACAATACCCATTAAAATATAGAATCATTCACACTGGAATATTACGCAGTCATAAAAAAGAACAAAATCATGAATTTTGCAGCAGCCTGGATGGAATTGGAGTTTATAATACTGACTGATCTCTCACAGAAACAAAGATCTGAGTATCACATGTTCTCCCTCATAAGTGGACCTTGAACAACTATCATAATACTATAAGAAAAGGATTGACAGTGGCAGGAAACTATGGGGGGCGGGAGGGGAAGGGAAGTGGAATTAAGGTAGTTGATATCTGTCTGGGGATGGGGGGCGTACCTCATCAACAAAGGTACCTGCACAATACATATTTGTATACCTAACCCTTAACTGTACCCCACAATTTTAAAAGAAAAAATACGTTAAAAAAAGAAATTGTAAAAAAAATAAAAATAAAATACCATCATTGGCTGGCTCGCTCACCAAGGGAAGGAGTTGCATCGCTTCAAGATACGCTGCCTGACTACGCCCGTGCTGCTGCGGGCCCTGGCCCAGGCTGAGCGCGCAGGACATCCTAGTGTCCAGAGCCTCCGCGGCAGTGCAGTGGCAGCCACCTACAAGCATGTGAACATGCAGTAACCCGAGATGGACATGAGATCAGTGACCAACCGGGTAGCCTGAACCCTGCTGTGACCTGAGCTCATTCGAGGTCTGGGCAAGACCCTGACCTACCTGTTCCGGGAGCCCACCGCCATCAACTACCCATTTGAGAAGGGCCCGCTGAGCCCACGCTTCTGTCCGGAGAGGAGGGTTGCATCATCTGCAAGCTCTGTGAGGCCATCTGCGGCGCTCCCCCCGCCACCCACCATTAGCATCACCATCGAGGCCGAACCCAAGGGCGACGGCAGCCACCTGACCACCCACTATGATATCGACATGACCAAGTGCGTCTACTGTGGCTTCTGCCAAGAGGCCTGCCCCTTGGACACCCTCGTGGAGTACCCCAACTTGGAGTTCTTCACGGAGACGCAGGAAGAGCTGCTGTACAGCAAGGAGAAGCTGCTCAAGCATAGTGACAAGTAGGAAGCGGAGATCGACACCAACATCCAGTTCGACTACCTGTACTGGTGATGTCGCCCGCTCGCCCGGAGCCCGATAAAACAGTGCGACCCACCCACGCAAAAAATAATTAGAAAATAAATTAAAAATTACAGTCATCATTCTTCTCAGACCTGGAAACAATACAGAAATTCATATGGAAACAAAAAGCATCACGAATAGCCAAAACACTTCTCAGCAAAAGAAATAAAGTAGGAGGTATCACATTTTGAGACTTTATACTATAAGACTACAATAATCAAAACACCCTAGTATTGGTACAAGAACAGGCATCTGTACCAATGGAACAGGATAGAGATTCCAGGAGCAACACCTCAATTTCTCAACCAACACATCTTAGACAAAGCCTCCAACAACAATCACTGGGAAGAGGAGAACCTATTCAGCAAATGGTGCTGGGAAAAACTGGCTGACAATATGCAGAGGATTGAAACAGGACCCCCACCTATCACCATACACAAAAATCAACTCTAAATGGATCAAAGACCTAAATGTAAATCTCAAACTATAAAAATCTTAGAGACACCCTTACAGAAATTGGAATAGGCACCCAATTCCTGATCAAAATCCTAAATGCCCACGTAAAAGAGGTAAGATAGACAAATGGGAACTCATCAAACTGAAAAGCTTCTGCAAAGCAAAAGAAACCATCAAGAGAGCAGGAAGACAGCACACATTGGGAAAAAATATTTGCCAACTGTATATCTGACAAAAGCCTATTATCCAGGATCTACAAGGAACTCAAATGTGCTGAAATGAAAAAACAAACAGTCCTATTAAAAACTGGACATTTATATTTCCATACAAATTCCTTTATTGTCATTCCCAGGTGTGAGAAGAATGCTGCTGGTATTTTAATGGGCACTGTGTTAAATTTGTAGATTGCCTTGGGTAGGATGGACATCTTAACAATATTGATTCTTCCAGTCCATGAGCATGGAATATTTTTCCATTTGTCTGTATCATCTTTGATTTCTTTGAGCAGTGTTCTGTAATTTTCATTGTAAATGTCTTTGACTTTTCTGGTTAGTAAGATACCAAGATAATTCTTTGTGTGTGTGTGTGTGTGTGTGTGTGTGTGGCTATTGCAAATGGGATTGTGCTTTTTATTTGAGTTTCACTTTGGTTATTGTTGGTGTGTAGGAGTGCGACTGACTTTTGCACATTTATTTTATACCTTTAGACTTTGCCAAAGTCCTTTATCAGTGTAAGGAGGTTTTTGACAGATTCTCTTGGGTTTTCGAAGTGTAGAACCATGTCATCTGCAAAGAGGGATAGAAAAAAAAACTTCCTTTTTTCCTATTTGGATATCCCTGATTTCCTTCTCTTGATTGCTATAGCTAGGACTTCCAATACTATGTTGAACAGGAAGGGTGAGAGTGGGCATCCTTGTCTTATTCCAATTTCTGTCTGTCTAGCAGTATGTTGGCTGGGGGTTTCTCGTAGATGACTCTTACTATTTTGAAGTATGTTCCATTTATCCCTAGATGTTTGAGGGTTTTTATCAAGAAGGGGTGCTGGATTTTATCAAAAGCTTTTTCCAAGTCTAGTGACATAAACATGTGTTTTTTGTCTTTATATCTGTTGATGTATTTAATTACGTTTATTTAAAATAATTTTTTTAAAGTGGGCAAAAGCTATGAATAGACACGTCTCAAAAGAAGACAGATGAGCAGCCAACAGACACATGAAAAAATGCTCAGTCTCACTAATCATCAAAGAAATGCACAGTAAAACCACACTGAAATGCCACCTAGCTCCAGTCAGGGTGGCCATCTTCAATAACTCAAAGAACAACAGATGCTGGAGAGGACACAGGGAAAAGGGAACACTTCCACACTGTTGGTGGTAGTGTAAACTAGTGCAACCTCTGTGGAAAACAGTGTGGCTCTTCCTAAAAGATTTAACAATCGACCTCCCATATGACCCAGCGATTCTTCTTCTGGGAATATACCTGGAGGGATTTAAATCATTCTATAAAAAAGATACCTTCACATGCATGTTAATTGCAGCATTATCTACAATAGCAAAAACATGGAATCAAGCATGCTGCCCATCAAAAGTGGACTGGATTAAAAAAGAGGTGATACATATACACGATGGAATATTATGCAACCATAAAAGAAAGACAAAATTATGGACTTTGCAGCAACTTTGATGAATTTGGAGTTTATCATACTCAATGATCTATCACAGAATCAGAGAACTGAGCAACATATGTTCTCACTTATACGTGGATCCTGAACATTTATCATAATACTATAAGAAAGGGTTTGACAGTAGTAAGACACAGCCAGGGGAGGGAGAGGAGGGGCACACAGCATCAGTAAAGGTACCTGATCTCAAACCAGGCAAAGTGGGGACCAAAGGGAGGCCCAAACTTTACCTGTAGGATGACCACTTATCTACCTAATCTTGAATTGTGTCCCACACTTTTAAAGTAAATAAAAATAAATTTTAAAAAGAAATATAAAGTTTTAAGGGAAAAATGTACCATTTATTGCACACTTACTAAATATCAAGTTTAGTTAATGTACTGTTATCTGATAAGGCAGCCTGTTTAATCTTCACAATAATCCTGTGATCTATTTAATATTATTTCCATTTTACAGATAAGGAAACTATCAGTGCCAGAAGAGGCCAGGTAGCCTGCCTAAAATCACACACCTGGCTTGCAAATACAGGCCTATTTAAATCTGAAGGCAACTTGTGCAGATATCATTACCATATTTACATCACAATTCCTAAGTCATTATTTGAGTATAGCTAGGTCCCATAACTGAATAGGGCAGTCACAATAATTCAGTTCTTACTAACATCCTCACACACACACACACACACACACACACACCTGGTTAAAGAGAAAAAATGTAGGTTTTACAGACTTCAACTTTAATTTACAAGTCCTATTTCCTTCAGGACATTTTATTAGTAAGGGTTCCTTTTGCTTTTGGAGGAGAACAAAAAGAAAGAAGCATAAGGGTGGAACAATTCTTATTCTACACTGGACTAACAAAATGAGATTAAATATAAGCAATAGACTTCTTTTCTGAGATCACCAATCATGTCCAGGGAATATGCCTATTGAAAAAGCACCTGCATCCTTCTTTTCAATAAATCAGCCATTGGGTTCAGCAGAGTATGTATTACAGGGTTATCCGGGGAGGTTATCAATGTTGCCAATCCTTGTCTTTACACAGTGTGTCTGATGTATTCATAATTAGCACATTCAAAATCCACAGAACTGTGCAGTGTGGACATGCTGGGATTTATCTGGCAAGAGAAAACACTCTGGCTGAATCTAAAATGAGCTGTGTTTACAGATCTCATTTGCCTGGTGCTGGCATATACCTGAGGGAGGTGGAAATAGTAGAAATGAGAAAGATACTAGAGCCTGAGAAATGATACCTATTGGCTTGGCAGAAACTGTTACTCATCCATGAAGACATAAGGAGCCTTGGGAAGCATGATAATGTTAATTAATAAGACTTCCAACTTGAAGAAACTCCAAAGTTTACAAAATGCATTCACACATTCCATCTCAATTCTCTGAAGAATGCAGTGAGGCAGTTTTCACTGATCCTCTTCTTCGGATGAGGATGGTGCAAATCAGAGAGGTTACATGGGTCACACAGCTAATGAGAGAGAAATCAAGTTCCTTGGTTTGTGGGTCAGTTTATTTCCCATTGTGCAGGGTTATTTTCAGGGAACCGGAAACTAATGTGCCTTGAATCAACAAAGGGAAATCAGGAAGAAACAAGGAAGAGATGGAATGAGGAGCAGGCTACTGTAATACATTAGAGAATTTTTTTAAAAGTCTTAATTAAAGACTTGAAATAGAGAGTAAGACAAGAACATTGCATTCTAGAACAACATATTAGAGTAGGGAATTAAATGGCATCTTGCAGAATGAAGCAATAGACTGGATACAGGCTGTCCCTGCTCTACTACAGATTCCATCACTTAATTAATAGTTACATGACTAAGGATAAGTTACTTAATGCCACTGAGCATTTATTTCTTCACATGCAAACTGGGGTTGTATTATCTACCTTAATTTTCTTACAGTTCTTCTGAGAATTAAATTAAGACAAGAAGTAGTAATTTTATACAAAGTGTAATGATCTCTACAAATAAAATACATTTCTACAACTACTACTATTATTGCTATTATAGTTACTACCACCCTATTTGTAGAAACGATCAAAGAAGGCACTAGCAAAATTATGAGATACAGTAGGAAAATTTTGTTGCTAGTAAAATTTAGCAGAGGGTCTTTTCCAAAGTAAGTTCTCAATAAATGGCAGTTGTTTGAATTTATTTAATTTGTTCTATTCAAATTCTCTAATTCTAGACTCTTCCTGACTTTACTGTTTTCTTTTCAGAATGTAGCATTATATTTTTATGCCTCTCTTCAGTGATCTGACCTTGTTGTAACTGCTTTGTTTGTGTTAACTTTTCCATTTCGACTTTCCAATTTTCGTTTTTAGGATTCAGTATGATAGAGCCTTGTACACTGGCTGAAATCCCATAAGTTTCAGTGGGACCTGATTTTCTGTTTCTTTGCATCAGTGACTGAAGTCTGACAGTTTGAGAATATTTGGCTCAGAGATAATGATAAGGGGGGGTCACATTCTTCCTTGAGTCTTGCTGACTGGAGCTATGTATGGACCATGTCCTTTCAGGTAAAACACGTACTTTCAATTTACCAAAGTACCAACTTGTCTAATTATCTCATTTACCTGGTCCTCTAGACATTTGAGCTTAAAACTTTTCTTCCAAGAAGTAACAAGACACTGCTTTGCCCAACAGACCAAATAATATATGCAGGTCAGTTTTTCCACCACCAGATCTCCTATAGAAAGCAGTTCAAGTGCAAAGACTTGACAATCCCCACCTCATGTCCCAGCCCACCATTTATGGATCTGTTGTCAATTGTCTGCACTTCTTAAAACTTGGTACAGTCTCAGAAATTACCAACCCTTGATACTAAAACCAAGAGAATTTATTTG